TTGTTTGACACAACATTTTTATCGTAGTTGTGTTGTGACTATTAAAAAATAGTTTGTCTTAACCGTCAATAAGAGCGTAAAACAATTTCTGGCGATTGAAATGATGAACATTTTATTAGAAAAATGATATAATTCTTAAGATTATGTGTTTTTGCGAATATGTGTGAAGAAAATCGTGTTTTAGTTAGTGATTGCGTGTAATAGGGACAGCAATAAGTGATGGCACAGTCAGACAGTCAGGTACTTGACTTGATTCACATCCTAGTGATTGTGAATGAGAGAGCGAGAGAGAGAGAGAGAGAGAGAGAGAGAGAAAGGGCTGTGAGTGTGTTATTTTAGAGTATAGCTGATCGGCAAGAGAGAGAGAGAGAGAGAGAGAGAGAGAGAGAGCACATGGATCTGAGAAATTGAGTGAAAAAGTAAAACTCATGGCTCGAGTCAACTGACGAATGCTTACAACCAAAACATCGAGACATAAAAAATCTTTTACTTTTTTACTCTCGTAATGATTATATCGTATAAAAGGTATGCATTGGTCGATGAAAATAAATTAAAAACTATTTTAGGCTTTTATTTCTCTGCCGTCTCTCAACTAATGCATTACACTTACGATGGATTCAATCGATTAAAAAAATTAGAGAACAGGCATATGAAGGCATATATAATGGTTAACGCGAGGGCTCTAACAACCAAAAAATTAACGACAAGACAACCCAAAGGAAAGGATCATTTGCTGGGATTATAATAAAAGAAATGCGAAAATGAGGGGAAAATTAATGGCAAATGAAGAAAAAATGAAAATATAATGAAGAAATGAAATAAATTATATGACAATAGGAAAGGCTATAGTTTTTTATATATATTAGTAGATATATAGCAAATGACGTGACGTTTTCTTATTAATATTAATGAAATGATAGCCAAAAATAAATCAATTTATGAAAAGGGGTCTGAGATGTAAGACTTATGCAAAACAAAATCATTTCACAAAAGAGACGAGAAATAAAATACAAAATGCGCTGAAATATGACAAAAGTATTATCGCTTTTACTTAAATTTTCTTTCAATTTAAAATTTCATTCATTCTTATTATTATTATTTAAAAAATTTTGTTTTTCATTACAAATACACGTTTGTTTTTCTGATTAGTTTTCATTTATATTATAATAAGTTTTATAAAATACAAATAATTTCTCTATAAGTAAACAGAAAATATTTAGAAAATAAAACATTATAATTACAATTAATTTTGACAATGTTTTAGTGTATGTAAAAGTCATGGATGAGTGCTTTTTCAATGTTCAAAATTATTACAACAAAATTCTTTAAAGGATTTGATTTGATATTTGAAATGCAGAGGAAATGTCAAACACAACACAACTTAAATGTTAACTTAAAATTTATATAAAATTATATATAAAATGATTTTTAAATAAAAAACATGATTTTCAAAAAAGAAAAGACTCTTTCATTCTCAACATTCTTTACACAAATAAAAAACACAATTCTTATTATATAATAATTTACTGGTTTTTACACAAATTGTTGCAAAAAATAATGATTACAACAAAAATTAGACAAAAATATTGAGAACGATTGGGGGATACAAAATGCAAACGAATGAGAGGATTGGATCAGATTGGAAGGATCCGGGACACATTTCTATCAAATGTATGTAATCATAATCATATATGCCTTAAGTTATTAACACAATATATAGTGTATAGTCGTGAATGTGTCGGTCGGCTTAGTATTGGCCTTCCTTTCACATCAAACATGTTTAATAGAGACTAACATAAGAGCTAAACACATAACAGAATTATATATTATTTTAGAGTCAAACAGAATGCAAGACATGTGAAGACAAAAAATACAGAAAATTAGAGAAAATAGAGAGCAAAGAGAGAGAGAGAGAGAGAGAGAGAAAGAGAGGGAATGAGTGAGAGGAGAGGGCATCCACTCTCAACTCAAACAAATAACATAACATTCATAACGATTGCAGACAACAAAACAGAAGACAACAGAATAAGTATTGCATGCAATGTATGGCCGTTTCAGTTATATCTTGTATTTCTTCACATCCGGGAATAAACGTAGAAAAGTAGTGATCGAAAACACTGGTAGGAACTGTGCAATAGTCGCTGAAATTATCTCTTTAGACAGTTTCATCAAACAATAAAAGCATCCAAAAGCACAACAAATGATACAAATACTGCATATGAGAGCAGAAGAGACAGTAGGCAGAGAGCAGAGGGAGAGAGAGAAGCAAAGAATCGTTTTAATTTGACTCAAACTATCGTATCAGACATGGAGTGTACGCCGAGTCCAGACTAACTGTGAGATATTGTTCACAGATATCCATACTATGCATACAAACCATATCTCAAAATTCATGACATTAGAGAGAGAGAGAGAGAGAGAGAGAGAGAGAGGGAATGAGTGAGAGGAGAGGGCATCCACTCTCAACTCAAACAAATAACATAACATTCATAACGATTGCAGACAACAAAACAGAAGACAACAGAATACAATAGGATTTTCTCGTTTATTATATAAAAGCAGTTTTAAATATCAGGTGCGAGAGAGAGAGAGAGAGAGAGAGAGAGAGAGAGAGAGAATATTATATAAGACCACTAACAATGTGTGTGGCATTGGAAGAGAGACTGCCGGTGCCTATGCCTGTGCTTTTAGTGCAAACTATGAGCACAACAAACAATGTATAAACGAATTCAAGTGTAGACTAAAGAAATTCTTTTCATTTAGAAAATTATTTATTATTTAAGATATATTTTGTGTGTAATGTTTGTAACTATTGTAATGTCATTTCTGGTCATTACCTGTGGTTCACGTTTTTAATCATTTTTGTGTTAATATGAGAAACTATAGAGAAATAGGTTTCGATTGGATAGTGAAATCAAAATAATGTTTGCAAAAGAATAGCAATCGCTGTGTAATTAAGGAATTGGAGGAGTATTTGAGTGTAAATAATGATGATAACAAACGGATCCGTCCAAACAAACGTGTATATATTGGGTAATAATCAAAGGCATCACACTTTGCATTCCCCCGGTTTCAGAGTCTTCTCTCTCACAATATACCAGTGAATATCGTTTTGCTTTGATATTCAAAAAAAAATTTCATATATTTATTATATAATTAAAGGTTGACTACAAGTACACAACTTATTGTACCTTAAATTTTGAAATTGGAAAACACATATCGCTATATCGCAGCCATAATAATAATACTAATAATATTAAAATTTTTATTTCAAAATAATAATAAAAAATTGTTATTAAAAACATTTCTTGACGGCAACAATGATTTCTCATGGAATTCATAGACATTATATAATATATAAGAAAAACTTTCTTAAGTTGTTTTACAATTTTTTCTCAATCTTAAACTTATTATTTCTTTTTTGGCTTTTCATAGCATAATAATAAAAGACAAGAGAAGGCAAAGGGCCGGAGCGAAGGGCCGGATATACTTTAATGATTAGTATAGTAGTAGTAGTACTGTATTAGTAGTAGAGTGTAAGGAGAAGAGAGAGTAATTTTTATTTGAGAGAAATGTTTTTATAGGATTTTTAATTTTCAAAAGTGTAGGAACTTTTTTGTTTGTTAGTTAGTCTTTGAAGGCTATAAATAGTTGAGTAAAAAAGCGTTGTGTTTAAAGGAAACTAAGAATTTCGTTGGAATTTCATTTGCTATCGCTTTTTGTCTGTATTTTGTTTTATTTCTCTGTTTGACTATCATTTGGAGCCCTAATTATTTGATATTCAATTTGATGGCAATAATAATTATAAGTGTTCCGAGAATTTCAAGAATTAGCTAATATTTGTTTCTCTAATTTCATGATAAAACTTACCAAAAATTCTTTCGTCAAATCAGAAAATGTCTAATGTATTTGTAATTTCAATGTTTCTTATAAATAATATGTTTGTATAGGAATTGATATTTAAATAACAATAAATAGATATAATTACTAATAATAATCGCTTTGTCTGTCAATTGAATTAATAATTCATTTAACAATATTTGTAACTAATTGTCAAAATAATTCCATTAATTAATCAATTAATTCAAAAAATTAATAAAAACAGTAATTCATTGAACAAAACACATGAAAATAGAGGAAATTATTTATACACTTGAAATGTTTTATAGCGATATATTCACAGTGAAAGCAATTAATGAGATATTCAATTAATTATTATGGCTTTTCCTAATTGTAATACATTATTAATGATAAGATTCGGTAATTATAATATACTGTACAATGATTTTTGATGAGTCGTTTTAACCAAATATTGGTTTCGCTGGTCATATGTTTTCACTCATTATTTTACCATAACTTAAAATAAACGCATAAAAAATTGTTAATTAAAAATAATACACAAAACTTATCAACAATTTGTCTGATTTAATAATAAAATGCATGAATTAATAAAAATAAATCATAAAAATTAAATATTATATAAATATAATCATAATACTAAAAATAGGTGCAAAATATAATATAATGTATATATAAAAAGACTAATGAAATGATACGACAATAATATCATTGAACAACAAAAATGCTCAGTTTTAGTGGATAATGTTTTTACATATGTTTTTTCGATAGAAAATTTATCTTTTTCTTTCACTTTTCATTTTAGTATATTTTAGTCACAAAAAATTCAATTTATTTCACAGTTTACAACACTTTGTGTGTGATTAGGAACTTTATGGAGAATAAAAATCATGTGTCATATTGAGTGTCATTACAACCATTTAAATAAGGTTTTCGTGTTTTATATATGTTTATGATTTCACAGCGAAATTTCAATAAAAAATGATATTTAAATTCAATTAATCGATGATAGTTTTGTCGTCTCGTTTGGCGCTTTTCAATGGCTTTGTGTGTCATTCATATGGGATTTGTGTCCACAAATAGTCGCGGGGTATATATGCGTGGATCGGGATATCGGTATGCAATTAAAGCTTATTCCTACCTGTGTTGGCAGCCGTGCCATACATGGATGGGTGCATGAAAGCGGCCGCAGCGCCCGCCGCCGCGTAATAGTTCTGCAGACCCGACGGATACATGTAATTGAATAGACCTGAGTTGTCGTTCGCCGCGTCCGCGTTGGCCAGTCCTCCGCTGCCACCACTGCTGGAACTCGAGTTACTGTCCTTACTGTTCAGATTGGGTGCCGAAGCCGTCGGTGCGCTCTTTTCACTCTTTATTTGTTCGTTAAAGTTCTTAGCGTTTCCGCCGTTGACCGTCACGTCCGGCAGTGTTAGTCCGGCGGGAAGTGCCGCCGACAGACCCATGAGCTGCAACTGTTGCATGAGATTTGTGGCCGATTTGGACCGGTTTTCGACCGCATCGGAGGTGGCGTTTGCGCCGCTATTGGTGTTGTTGTTCGTGGGAATCACAGGCTGTACGAGACCGGAGGCGATCGGGAAGTCGGAACTGTTGTCGTCCTGACCCTCAAACATCTTCTTCGCCGAATCGATGTGTTGTTTCAGATTCTGGATGTGTTTATTAGAGAACAAGTGGTCCTGCATTGAAGTCGACGAGAACTTCAGATTGTATTTAATGCAACATATTTTGCACTCTTCTATGGGTTTAGTGTTTGTCTCGAATTCGTGGCCAAAAGTCTTAGCGAACTGCAACCTCGCCTTCTTCTCCTTCGCTCTGGCGTTTTGAAACCAGACCTGAACGACACGCTTCGGTAGCCCTACCTCTCGGCCCAAACACTCGCACTCAGCCATTGAAGGTGTCTTATAGTCGGCAAAAATGGATTTCATAACTTTGAGCATAACTGTTGTCATTTGTGTCCGAAAGCGTTTACTGGAGTTCGAGGGAGTATTGGGACCCGAATTCATGAGTCGATTCAACGCCGACGCCGTCGACGATGTCGTAGATCCGGGCGCCGGAGACGCCGGGTTTGACTCTCCGTATGAGAAATAGTAATCGAACTCCAAATCGTCGGAAGAGTCGGAGTCTTCGCCGTCAGATCGGGTGTCGTCGAAACCCTCGTCATCGTTGGCCGAGAATCTTAACGGTTGTGACAAATCGACGGGCTTTGAGAGGTCGAGGGGTGCGCTCTCGCCGGTCGTGAGTCCGCTGGCCTCGAATGCAGCCTTCATTTTGAGACTCAGATCTGAGGGAATATTGCTTTGTTGGCCGTCTTTACCCGGAATATTGAGTTCTTCCAAATACTTCTTGAGTGAGTCCTCGTAATACTTCTTCATTGTTGACTGCAATGCTTCGGCGGTGAGACCACTGGCGTTGGCGCTCCTCATGAGGTCGTCATTGTTGATGGGAGGAGAGGACGTGTCGTTAATGTCTGGGTCGCCGTCGGGGAGGGCGTCGATATTGATGTCGCCTTTGGTGTATTGGTCCGCATGACGGGTCGCTAAATGAGATTCCAGAGCAGATCGCGCTTTAAAGAGTGCCCGACAGAAAGGGCACCGCTTATGGATGACCTGTTGATGTGCGCGGAACTGACCTTTTCTTTCGCGGGCTCTCGTATTCTGGAACCAGACCTGAACGACACGCTTCTTAAGGCCCACCTCTTTGGCAATGCTTTCGAGCATTTTTCTGCTCGGGTTTGACTCGATTTGATATTTCTGGTAGAGATAGTCGAGCTGTTCGGGCAATATTGTGGTGCGAAGTCTCTTATCGCGGGGCTGTTCACCGGAAGTGCCGATACCACTGAGTGAGTCGTAATCGTGCGAATCCTCGTCTTCGGGGAGTTTGCGTTTAATGGTTTGCTGTTGTGTTTGTTGTGCTATCGACGCGTTCAATGGGTTGTTAGAGTTGGGAGATGTGGAGGCGTTAGTCTGTGGGCTCTGTTGTGCCTCGTATTGCAAAATACCGAACGGAGAAGACGGCGGGTAAGAGGGGAAGAGGTTTGGGTTCATGAAGTGCACCAATTGGTGTTCGCGCCATAAGTCGTGTCGATTGAATACGAGACTGCATTTGTCACAGCGATAGACGCTTTGCTGTTGCGATGACTGCTGTGAAGGCTGCGAAACCGGTGTTGTTTGCGGCGACTGTTGCATGAGTTTGTCGGGTGTGGCAGACATTCTCCCGCTGTCCACAGGTGTGGGTGTAGTGGACGGCGCCTCACGACTCACGCCGGGAGACGTGGACTGAGCGCGCGATTCGGCCGCAGCTCTTAACTGAGCGGCCAATGGGTTCTCATCCTTAAAACAGGCGCTCTTTTGGTGTTTAATGAGTTCGTAATAGCGTTGGAAAACTTGCATACATTTTTTGCACTGATAGTTAAGACCCGGCGTTCGCTGGAAACGTCCCGAACCGTCGTCTTCCTGAGGGACTGGCGGTTGGTTTTCGTACACTTTTCTTGCTTTTTGTCGCGCGTTTTGAAACCAAACAACAATAACTCTTGGACTCAGATTCAAGAGTTTTGACAAATACTCTAAATCATCGTCTTTTGGGTATGCGTTTGACTCAAAGAATTCTTGCAATACTTTGATCTGATAATCAGTAAATCGGGTTCTGTTAGCCCTCTTACCAGAAGATCCGCCACTATTAGAGTTGCCGTTTCCCGTGGGGTTCGGTGTGTTTGAGTTGGAGGCCGACATCTGAGACCTGTGGGCGGCGTCGAGTGCCATCTGAAGACCCGATCCCAGCGGCTGTGAGAGAGAGGCCGCAAATCCCGGCAAACTTGAGAAGAGAGAGGCGGCGCTCATATCGGCCGCCGATTGTGAGCTCATCGACGACTCGGATGTGTGAGGGCTGTGAGCACTGGCGTTGAGCAAAGCTTTGGTCATTTCAAACTCCTGTTGTTGTTGTTGTAATTGGATTTGATGTTGAAGTGACTGTTGCTTTTGGAGCTGCAATATATGGCTCTCAAACTTCTCCTGAATTTGTTGTTCGCTTTTGGTTAAAATGACATCTCTTGCCTTTTTGGTGTCAATCATCTCGTCATCAGAAGTGGCGTAATCCGTGTCTTTGTCCGTATCTAATCTGGACGACGAGCTCTTCATGTCGGGCGCCGTATTGGCCGTCCATTTCTCGCCCTCACTTTCGACGGCACTGTCTTTCGCTTCATTTTCGGTCTCTTTCTTAATGTCAGTCAAAGACATCATTTTTGTTTCTCCCGTTTTCTCGTATTCCTCGAGATTGAGGAAAGTCTGCGGCGGGTTATTGAAGTTATAGGGACTGTCTTTATTGCGCTGTCTCTCCTTAAACAGTGTGTTTCTGAACCAGTGTTTGATCACTTTGAGCGGCAGACCTGACTTCTCGGACATCTCCAACAGTTGCTCTTCAGTGGGAGAGTTATTAATGTCGAAATATTGTCGCAAAACTTTGAGCTGTTCGTCACTAATACGAGTTCGCGCTCTCTTCTGATTCTGTGCGGCGTTCAACTGTTGCTGTTGTTGTGCCATAAGCTTCTGTTGGGCGGCAAAGAAGTTCTGGTCCGCGTTCGGCATCGGACTCGCGGCCGACACCGACGGCGAGGCCGACGGATTGACCATCGCTGCGGCCCCGGGATGGTTGAAGGCCGCCATCATTGGGTCCATATGCGAGCCCATCATCACTGGTATGAGCGGTGGGTGCAGACCCATAGCGGCCGCGGCGGCGAACGGCATATTCATATTCATGTTCATATTCATACCCATATTCATAGGCATTCCCATTCCCGCCAAACCCATACTCATCAACAGTTGGCTGAACTGAAGATGTGCTGCCATTTGATTGGCCGCAGCCATGTCTGCCTGCGACGCGTTCTGTCCGTTGTTAAGCATACCATTGCCAGCCATAGCCAGAGGCGGTGAGTTTGAAGGGCCGGCGTTAGAGCCCGAAGCTATTTGTTGTTGCATTTCGTTTGCGTTGGCATTCATTTGATCGGTTGAGCACTCGTTGTCGTCTTCGAGGGCACACTTCCTGTCGTATTCGGTTCGGTATTCGTCGGCAAAGTTCTCGACCACATCGAGAGGGACGACGTCTTTGTGGATCTCCTCTCTGTGAGCCTTCAGCACCCAAATGGATGAGAACTCTTTACTGCATTTATCACATTTCGATCGATTAATTTCCGGCAAATTGTTTTTCAAGTCTTGTTTTCTGATCTCCGATTCGTTTGCCTCAGTCTTATTGGCCTCACTATCGGCGATGCCTTCGATGGGCTTAAGCTCTTTGGTGTCAGCGGTGGTCGGCGTTGAGGTGGTATTGGGGTTAGGGTTGGCGTTGAGATCAATGTCTTTCTTGGTTTTGTCAGTCGAGTCGTTGTTGTCTTTTCTGACTCTCTTTTGGTGGCATTCATTGAATTGCATAACGATCTCAAAACCCCAGGTCTCGAGTAAGTGCTTATAGAGAGGAGGTTTGGATCGACAGACGGGAGCATAACTCGAGAATTTGGGAGCACTTCTCGCACCGGAGTTATTGGATGCGAGAGTCGACTGAGTTATGGGAGCATTAGTTGGCTCGGAGTTGGGCTGAGGAGGCGATTGACTTCTCAGTTGATTAATAGCCGACTGTTTATTGATATTCTGAGCGCTAGTATTATGTGAAGGAGTATTGAATAGACAGCAGAGCTGTTGGTGTTGTAGTTGCGCTTCTTGTGAGATAAAAGCTGACCCGCATCTTTGGCACTGGAATGGAGACGAACCCATCAATAGGTTGTGGCCGTTGTTTCCGGCACTCATCGCCAGATTGAGGGCCGCCTGTTGTAAGACAGCCGCCTGTTGCGGGTCCGACAGATTGAGCGACATTATGGTGTCGTGTAGTTGTTTGTTGGGTGTAGTGCTCGGCGACGGTGTGCTCGCCGTCCGCTTCGCCACATCGGCGCTCATCTTTGGCGGCGAAGAAGTGGCCGAAGCGCTGGGAATGCCTGAGTTGGGAGCGCTCGGCGTACTCATCGTCACCGCAGTCTCACTCGTATTGTCCGGTCGTTCGATGAGAGGAACGCTGAGATCGATCTGACCCGTGAGCGCCAAGTCGTGCAGTTTGGAGGCTCTGGTCTGGTGTAGGACTGAACGCACGTGTATATCGAGAGTTGTGCCCAAATTGTAGGCAACTTTACAAATGTTGCAGCGGTAGGGCTTCTTCTCCAGATCGGCGCTATTGTTAGCGTTGGATGACTGCGAAAGTGTGGTCACCGGCGGCTGAGTCGCGCTCTCCGTCGGCGTCGCACTCATAATGGGGTTTGAATTGTTGGTCACATTCGAGCCGATGGCCGGACTCGAGGTGAGAGTGTTTGTGGTCTGAGTGTTAGTGAGAGTGGAGTTCTCTTTCATGGTTTGCTTCAATTTATGCAAATGCGAGACAGAGTTGTAGTGAACTAATAGTATGTTCTTCTGAGTGAATGATTCCTTACAGATATCGCATTTATACGGACGGTTCGGATCCAAATACTTCTCCATAGGATAACTCAGTTTCTCTCCCTTTCGGTGCAAAAGTGTTTTGTTATGAGACGTGAGATAACTCTGTCTCGTGAAGGCGACGCGACAGCGATGGCACTTGTATTTGCGCGTCGGGTCGTTATAGCTGTCCTCCGCCACCGCCTGCGAGTTCAGGAAGTCCTCCAAAGAGTTGGCCGCTTGCGGGCCAACCATTCCCTCGCGATTGTCGCTCATGTCTGTCATGTCTTCGTCCATCTCGTCGTTCGCGTTTCCCATCACTAAATCCATGGCCTCGTCATCGATGGAGTCGTCCATACGATTGGACTCATTCTTCAAGAGTTGAGTGGTTTGGGGGTCAAGAATGCCGGCGCCGTTGCGACCAGTGATGAGCAAAGGGTTGTTGACTAAACTGGATTTGTATTGTTCGAGCTCTTCCTCACTCATCTCCGTATGACTGGTCTCCACGTGTTTGTGCAGCGCTTCCACTGACCGGAAGTTACGGCCGCAGAGAACGCATTGAGTGGCCGCGCGAATCATGTGGTACTGCGAGTGGAGCTGCAGTTTCTCAATGGTCTTGAATGCGAGACTGCATTGAGAGCACCGATACTTATAGACGTGTCGGTCGGAGACCGTTGTGCCCGACATTTGGCTCGTTTTCAATGCGTGCTGTTCTTTGAAATGCAATTGAGTGGCACTTATAGTCTTGAATATCTGTCCGCAACCGGCTTTCCAGCACTTGTATCCACTGTTGGAGTTACCGATTGCGGCACCGGTTCTGGCATTGGGTGACCCATCAGTGGTCAGCTTCAGGTGTCCCTCACTATTAATATGAGTAAATAATTCGTCGAGAGTTAGGAATATTTTGGGACAACCGGGACAGTGAAGGGTCTCCGCGAAGACACCGGTGTCCATGAGTTCGTCGTCGCAATGCTTGGAACCGCTGTCACCGGAATAATCACTTTTGGCGTCCATTTCTCTTTGGTCTGAATCCTCTTCATTGGGAGACCATTGAGGAGAGATGTGTCGCGCCGTGTGTTTGGGCTTTGCGTTCACCTGTTCTGTGGTGTCCACTAAAAGCATGAGTTTGTCGAGTCCTTCCTGTTTGACAGAATGGATGTCTATTAAGTGAGTCTTGAGTCGAGTCTTCTCTTTGAAAGCCTCGCCACAGAGCGGACACGTCATTGTCGTCACTGTGTGTTCGGTTGTGGCGGCCGTAGGGGTCGGCGGTGTTGTCGAGTGACTCCTCTGTGTTTGCTTGGAATGTGTGGACACGATATGCATTTGGATTCTCATTTCATTGGTGTGACTGTATGTACAATAGGGACAGTTGTGCACCACTTCTCCTCCGCCATCGTTACTCATTTTGGCGGCCATTTGTGCCATCACTGCCTGCTGTTCCAGAAGCGCATTCTTCAGCATCGAGTCGCTCGACTCGATAGCCGATCCCAATGGCGGAGAGCCGGAGATATCGTCGTTTGAATTGTTGTCTGATTTGTTTAAACAAAAGGAAAAAGATTGACGCAAAAGAATCTAAATGTATTGTATTGTACGCTATAATAGTGTTTATGGCATTCAAAGTCATACAAAATAGCAGTAAATATTCTCTTATGAATGCCATGAATGCATTAATTCTTGTTTTTCTCCCAAAAACGTCTCATCAAATCAATGAGATCTGAATCGCGCAAAGAGAGTGTCAAAGAGATTCTTTGGGAGACTTTTTTGTTGTTGCTTTCATTACATAAATAAATATTAGTTGGTTTTGATATCTATTTAATTTGACAAAAAATAATTCCTAAAACTTTTTTCGCTATAAAATCGCGTTCAAAAAGAGCCTAAAAGCGGAGAGAATAAGAGGGAGAACAGGAGAGCCACAGAGAGAGGCTTAGCGAGAGAGCAGAAGTAAATTTATTTTATTTATTTTCATTTATTTTAGTTTTGCTTTGACTCATGTTATCAGTTGTATAATATGCTGGGTATCATTCTTGGTGATGTCTCTTTTAATGAATTGTAAATATCCCAAAGCAGCACAGATTATGGATAAGCTCTTTCCAGTTCCAGTTGGAGAGAGAGAGAGAGAGAGACTGTGTCTAAAGTAAACAGTAAACATCTAAAGGCTATGAGATTTTGCGCTTATATTGTGATGAGTTTGAAATCAACACATCTTTGATTGCCTTATATTTGAGTAGAAAAAGGAAAAATCATTTTATTTTGTTGTCTGCTTTCTATGCAAAGATAATTTTTCTAATTCAAAATTTTCTCCAATATTACTACAACTGATAACATGAGTCAAAGCAAAACTAAAATAAATGAAAATAAATAAAATAAATTTACTTCTGCTCTCTCGCTAAGCTTCTCTCTGTGGCTCTCCTGTTCTCCCTCATATTCTCTCCGCCTTTTCTCTTTACAAATAAAGATTCTATAATGAAATGCAGACGAAGACAACTCTTATATAATGTAAAGCCGAATATATAATACTTATGTATAAATATTCTGTATGTACTGAACATACATCGATAGTATACCCCAATACGGGTTATACAGTGCTTGCGATTAAAGGTTTACGAAAGGCATCAACTTTTTTAATAGAAAGCATTTCATTATCATTTCATTTTTTGATTGCTAGCGATATATCAATATTAATAGCATTAAAATTTATGAAAAAAATTATTTTTTCAAATTTATTCTGATTTCAGAGATCTTTTCGCGAAATATATTAAAAATCTTATATTAATATTTTGATTAAAATTTGTATAAAAAACAAATTATAATAATATATATGAAAAGCATGTGAACTAAAATCGATTCTCGATTGCTTACCGCTTTCAAAGACGACCTTTTCGTTGGGACCCAACTCTTTGACCTGAAATAATTCGCGGATCTCTTCCTCAGCGTCTTTCATGCCTAATGAGCCGCTCTGTTGTTGTTTCAGTTGTCGGAGGCTTTCGTTTCGGATGTGTTTAATAGAGTTGATGTGTTGGACGAGCGATATCTTAGTGCGCGAGGGATGGGCACAGAGGGCACAAAAGTAGTACTTCACTCCTCCGGTGTTGACCAGAGTCTCGGCGAGTTGTAAGTGAAGGAAGACTCGGGAACAGGCGTCGTGTCGCGGGTTAGCACAATGTAGTTGTAGTTTATGTATGGAATTTGTATAGTAATCACAAACATTGCAGCGAACCTGAACCGGATTGGAGACGTTCACGTACTTCAGCTTCCACTCGGACTGACCGCCGCCTTCTTTGATGTGATTCACGTGTTGTAATCGCTGTAAATGCTTATCGGTTTTGCAATGCAGTTGAAAGTTGGCCTTCAAATTAGTCTTATAGGAACACAGTTTGCAGATATAAGAGCCGCCGACAGCCATCAACACCTCCTCCTCCCGCTGTCGGGTTCGGTCACATTGGATGTGTTGACTCAGCCCTTCAATCGAGTCACTCGAATACAGCGCACAAACACAACATTGAAAGAGACGGCACGTGTCGTCGTAGGGAACGTTATGTAAGCCGAGAGACGGGTCCGGATGCTCGATGTCGTACGTCGGCTGACATCCCGATCCACTCATACGCGCGACCGGAGACTTATTGCCCGGACTCGGGCTCTGTTGGTGTTGTTGTTGTTGGTGTTGCTGTTGCATAATAGCGGCGGCCATCGCGCGCTGCTGTTGCTGTTGACTGGCCATCATTAGCAGCGCGTGATTGTAGGCCATGTCCGCGAGCGCCGCCTCGGGTTGCAGGTTGTCGTTGGGTCCGGTGGGCTGTCCGGACGCGAGCCCGGCGGCGGCCGCGAATATACCAGGGTGGAATTGGAACAGCTGTTCGGGCGTAAGCATACCCGCCTGTTGTAATGCCGACAACTGCTGCATATGCGACACGTTTTGCTTCAAAACCATGAGATTATGGGTGTGTTTCTCACTCGTCATGTGAATCCTGAGATTTCGGGCGACATTAGTCTCATAGTTGCAGACATCGCACCTCCACGTGGCCTTCTGTTTGGCCGGAGGGCCCCCCGCCTGAGCGCTGGTGGGAGTTTGGGGCGTGTGTTGTGTCGGCACTTTGGGCGACTTGTCGGCCACCGGTGTTGTCGGCATCGGTGCCGGCGATGTAGTGATCGACGCGCTGGTCGTCGTCGTAGGAACTGAAGTAGTAGTTGATTGGACGCCACCAGTGGCTGAGGCGACGGCCTGTGCCAAGGCTTGCGATTGGAGCAGATGTTCGGCCGGAATGTTGCCGTTTTGCAACTCCTGTACATTATTGATGTGTTTGTCTGATTGCATATGTATTGAAAGGTTGCCTTTAGTAGTGGTCGAGTAGTTACACACTTCGCAGCGGTAGGGCTTATAACCGCACGTATAGGTCTCGCCGCGGGCCAGTCGGGGGTGGGGCTGATTGGCCAGACAGTAGATGCAGTTCATCTCGTTCTCGGGGTGTTTCTCCTTCATGTGGATCTCGAGTGTCTCCTGATATTTGTAATGCCAGTTGCATTTGGGACACTTGAGCGTCTTGCACGAGTTGCGAGAATGCATCATGGTCATATGGCCACCTGTGGGACGCACACAACCAACCATTAGATCACACTTCGCGCCTAACGACAGGCCATCGCACTTACCGTCCGGATGTTGTGAACACAAGAGCGGCGACGCGTTGGTCGGACTGCCGGACGAGTGGTACGGCTGTGGCAGCGATGGTGTGGTCGACGACGCGATGGGACTCTTAGGCGACGGCGCGGTTGGGGGCGTCTGTTTGGAAGGAGAGGGCGACCGGTGCTGAAGGGCTGCCAATTGAGACATCTGTTCCATCTGTTGCTGTTGTGCTGCGGCCGCCGCCGCCTTCGCTATCTTCTCCAGATTCGCCAAATCAGCCAATTCTGGAGCAAACGAATTGTCCGCTTCAGGCGTCGGCGTTGAGGCCATCGCGGGGTCTGTCGGGTCGTACTGATGGTCCGAACCATTCTTTGGCAGAACAAAGCTTAAAGCGGAGGAATGAGATTCAAATGGTTTAATGTCCGGCGCGGAAGTGACTGGACTGGTGAGCGACGAGACCATAGAGTCCGTACTGAGTGACGCCATTCTCATAGCCGGTGTGGTTGTCGACTGACCAGCACTTGTGGTCGAAGCGGAGGAACTTTGTTGTCTCAGAGCAGTGGCCGCCGCCACCAATAGACGCTGTTGTGCTTCAAAGTGTTGCTGCAATTGCTGTGGCATTTCGTTTTGGTTGAGTGTCGGCGCCCGAGGTTTGGGCTCCAGGAAAGACAGGAGCGGTTCCTTGTCTTTGCCGACGCCCTGAATGATGGCCGACGTGTTCTTGTGTGAGAGGACGCGCTTCTCCTCGTCGTTGAGCGCAATGTTGTGCTCTTGTATTGAGTGAGCGATGAATGACTTGGAGTAACCGAACGATAGTTTACATATAAAGCACATGAGAATGGGTTTGACGGGCACTGTCTGACAACTACTCGCACTGTTCGCCGCCGAACTCTCCGAATGGTTCATTTGGTTGGGCCGAGCGTTCAGTGTGTTGTTGTTGTCTTTGTCTAACGGACTCATCATATCCTTCTGGTTGGAGACACTGTCGGCGCAGTTGGCGTTGAAGCCGTCCCTCAGAGTGAAGACCCGGTATGAGTGCATAATTGGTACTTCAGGAACAGGAACTTGATTTTCTTGTAGAATGTTTTGATAGGCCTGACCGTAGAGAGCACTGTATAGAGCGGCCGCTGAACTCCGGGATATATGAAAGGCGGACACCACCTGCGGAAAGGCAACACTACTTCGCCCGTACGGCGGTGTCATTCCGCGCGCGTCTATAATACTGCCCTCTTGGCTGATCTCCGCCTCCACATCACTGGCCTCGGAGTCGGCGCTACCCTCGATAATATAGGCCGAGCCGTCGGGATTGTACACTATTTTACCCGTGAAATTCTCGACATCACTCAATGAACTCACACTTTCGGCGTCTCCACCGCTCGGCTTCGATATGGCGTTAGTTATAGTTAGCGGCGATTCCAATGCCGTCTCCTTTTGCGGACATTTGTTGCTGTAGTTGAGAGCCTTCACGGGCGACATGAGTGGTGTGCGACCGGTCTGTCCGGTCTGTCCCGTATCCACAATAGGAGATGTGCTGTTGGGAGTTGTGCTCGAAGTGTCATTCGCTGCCAGTGTTGTGGTTGCCGTCGACTCCATGTCGAGCTGATAATGTAATCGTCAGATTAGTTGCTCTAATATAACCGTCACCGTCGGATCCCAGTCCACCCCAACACGACAGCTATGATCAGTGGTTTTGCATCTTTGGTTATCATTAGCTTTTCTATAGAAACCAATTATAAGAAATACATAACAATTATATTATTGGCTCAACAAATAACTTCTCAAATAATTTCGAAAATTGTTCTAAAAATTGTTCTAAAATGAGGTAAAATTATAGTGAATATGCATTTGCTTTACTAGTAATGAGTTTTTTCTGTTTTCTAATAAACAATTTTCACGATAGAAATGAGTTCTTGAAAAGTATGAATGGATTGAATTGAATGCATGCCATTGGCTATGGATTGGGAAGGGATTGAAAGGCAACCAAAAGGCATTGCTTTAAACAAATGATGGAATGAATGGTCGAAAGCATTGCATCTTTTGGAAAGCACTTTGAGGTCAATATTCGTATTCATTCATAAAGAGCTCCTCTCTCTCTCTCTCTCTTTCTTTCTATCGTTTGTATGGTTTGTATCGTAACCCACGCTTTGGGACTCAAGAAAAATAGTTCTAGAAATGGGGAAATCAATGGTATCTGTATATAAGGCAAAGATATGCCTCAACCTCAACCTTGACCAGTGATGGATGGCTACCACCGCTTTAACCAAATATCCAAACACAACACAAAAATATATATATTAAGCATACAGTGACTGAAATAAATATGTTGTTATAAACGCTTTTATATAAAAGGTGAGAGAGAGAGAGAGAGCGAGAGAGAGAGAGATCACAAATGAGAGAGAATTCAATACATAATATAATACAAAATAAACTAAAGAAAAGAAAAAGAGAGAAACACTGTTTGGCTGTTTGGTTGTGTTTCAGACATAGGCCTCCAGGCTTTTAGCCTCTACGAGGGGTGTCATTGGGGGCGTGCAATCTATGGGGAATTAGTATTACACTACCACATATACATTGATAATCCTGATTGTGTCCCCCATTAACATAGGTATCCCAGTATATGGTAGTGAAGCACTAGTATATGCCGTTAACTCAGGTGTGCCCTTCAATAATGGCCATAAGTTGCACCCCTGCTGTAGAGTATGTGTCACTTCTTTTTCTCGATGAAACTTCTCTTGTGTCCCCTTCTCTCAGCCCCTCTCCTCTCTCTTCGGACCCCCATTTCAATCCCTCGAGAGATATTTAGCTCAACTCCTGTGGCCATTGAAACGACATTTTAGGAGTTGTTGTTTCGATGTTCTGATTGCCAAAAGTGAGAAAAATTTACTTTATTTGAGTTATACTTCACTTATACGACTAAAACACAAATTCAATACGAGTTTTAAAAGTTTTTCAATTTAATGACTATTTTTTCTTCTTTTTTCGATGCATTGGAAACAAAGTTATTTTAAGTCGCTTTTAGTCCAAAGGCAACAAAAAATTGTGTTTCCATTCACTATAAAATGTAATGCATTTTTGAGTTTATTATTTATTATGAAAATTGTTTATTAGCCGTAATTTCAACGAATTTTTTATATTGGCTTTTATTACAATTACATGAAAAATACTGATAATTATTGAATATTATTAGAAAATTTTCACTCAAAACCCGGATATTGTCATTAGTGTTAGAATTTAGTGTTTTTGGCTCAAGAAATAAGTAATTTAAACGATTGTTGAGTTGAATCGCAGAGAATATATGCATTAATTTGTGTTTCGCGTTGTCGTTGTCTATCATGTGTGCGACACAAGAGATGTGTCTAAACTGGATGTGAGTGTGAGAGAGACGGGGAGAGAGTGAAGGGACGTACGCCACAGAGTAGGAGGTTATGCACCAAAGATGATCCTAATTGTAGCACCAAATCCCTTAAACAATGTCTCTCTTTCTCACTCATCGCAACCACTTTCGTATGGATGAGTTGGGCTCAGTTGGCCCGCAAATGCATCTCTGCCAACAACTTGTATCTCAGTTCTTACACACAAACATATATATAAACCAAAGACAGAAAAACATTCACTTTTTAGTGCTGTCTTAGTGTTAACTCACAAAATGCTAACAATTTGTGTGCAGCCCTTCAGGCAACGTATGTCCCATTCTATACCTCCCTTCGCGTCTCTCTCTCTCTCTCTCTCTCTCTCTCTCTCTTTCTATCGTTTGTATGGTTTGTATCGTAACCCACGCTTTGGGACTCAAGAAAAATAGTTCTAGAAATGGGGAAATCAATGGTATCTGTAAGTTGCACCCCTGCTGTAGAGTATGTGTCACTTCTTTTTCTAGATGAAACTTCTCTTGTGTCCCCTTCTCTCAGCCCCTCTCCTCTCTCTTCCCATGACAGCATAGGACAGGATAGGACAGGACAGGACAGGACTCATATTTTAATGCCTCTTTCAGTGGTTATATACAGTGGAGAGTTTGAGCCAAATTTTTCAGTGCCAAGCGATTAGTGGAGAGAGAGTTCGCAAACAATTATCATTCAAATCTCAAATACAAAAGATCTCTCGTCAGAGCGAATGGGTTTTAAAGCGTTCACAAACAGCACACCTGGGCTTAGCTTATAATTGAATATCAGTTTTAAACGCAAAAATGCAAACATAAAACCCGAACCTTAAAACTGAGTGACATTACTCTTAAGCGCACAACAGATTAACATCTTTTTAAAAATATAAGTCTTTTATGAATTTTTCTTTCTTCTCATTTATATTTAGTTTTACTTTTCTCTTACTTTTAACAAAAAAGAGCGAAATATTTGAAAAGCAAATAACGAATGAAAATAGAAAACAAAACGAAGAAAAAATTGTCAAAAAAACAGAGAGTAAGGCTTTGAAAATGTATTCATAACTGATTTGCAAAACATAACACATACTATGTATTCATTGAATATATTTCTAAATTTATTCAAAACAAAGTGGCGTTTTTGCAGACAATATATATAAATAAATATATTGTCGAAAATAAGATAAATTTTTTGTGTTTTAAACACAAACAAAATGAGTGGAAATTATGATTACATTAGTTTACAAATACCAGGAAACAGAGGGACCGGTAATTTCTGGCATTATTGGTCTCCCTCTCTATGTCTTTAGCACAACAATACAGAACTAATTACAACAACAATAACAAGTAAAACATCGACTAATATAATGAGAGAAATACCTAAATAATGGAATCATTGGACGAACAATAATAAAGCAAAGCCTCAGCGAATTCTGGCATTAATTAAGCGATGCTAACAAAAAAACATTCATTAAGTCGAGGAAGTCACGCAATTAACCATACATACAGCCAATACACTGCCAACACTACCAACACTGCCAACACCACCAACTATACCACCAGACAAGAGAGACCCTACCACTAGTGTTGGAACAGCTCTACTGTTAGCTCTTTGAAGTTCAATATTATAAAAAACTAAATACAAACGAGAGAAGCAGTGAATCAATGCCTACAAGAGTGGGGAGAGAGAGACAAAAGCTGCTGCTGTTGTAGTCGTCGAACACTGCTTTCGGTGCTAATTATCTCTCATTAAGGCTTTTTGAGCTCAACTTCATATATACAGAGGTTTTATTCAAGTGAAAGACAATAATTAAACAAAAGGGAATTTCCCACTCAAGGCTATGTTAAGAGAGAAAAAAAGTTAAACACTAAATATACAGCACTTGTGTTTAATGTTAATGTTATTTGGTTTTGTCAAACGCCGTGAATAACAGCACATTTGATAAACAGATAATCCATTTTAAAAAGAGAGACGAAAACAATCTTTACATTAGCCGTAATGTTGTAATGAGTGAATGAAAAATGGCATTTTTTTCATCGGTACACATATTTGTGAGACATATTTCTAGGGGAACAACATTTTTACGAATGCATCAATTTTTGTTGCTTTGATTTTGAAACTTTAGTTTTGTGTGAAAAGCATTGAAATCTTTTGCTAAACTTATTATTATGATTGCTATTATTGATGTTCTCTGAGCTCTCCTTTTCTTTTGTGTTAATATTTTTAGGTTTTTGGTTGAATTTTGAGTTAAATGTCTTGAGTGTTGTGTTGTGTCGCGAATTCACTGCTTCTCTAATACTTAGAGGAGAGAGAGAATCAATTGAAAAGACACAGAGATTGGCATACATTGCATACATTGTGAGAGAGATTGCATTATGAGTGAAAGAATAGTTAAGAGAGCGATATATAAACTAAAGGTTGCAAAAGTGAATGTCTTTCCCCTTGTTTTTCAGTCCCCAATGCTTGCAATGGAGACCCCTATGGCTTCTGTACGGGCCTTACATTTCAAACATAATTAGTTATTCTAAAATCACTGCCAAAGAAGTGAACTCAAGGTATGAATTGAATTCGGGTGCTATGGATAAGGGGATGAAGAATAATAGAAATACCTAAACAAGAGGGAACTGTGCACTACATTCACTGCCATCACAGTTGTGCACATATACGAGCACTGAAATACCCAAATGAATTAGTCTACCAGTGCTTTATGATCGTGGGAACCCATTGCCCAACACACCAACAGCTTTGGTCTCTAAGTTTTTGGTCCATCCAATCAAAACCAGTGCACACATAACTACAGTAGTATTTGCGACACTATTTCGCACCTTTAGTTAGCAGTAATCGCCGTCAGGTTTTCGTCATACCATGAAATCGTCATTCCTTATGCACACCACTGCGGGGCCCCATATATTGCCATACATAGCCATATATTGCCCGGTTATATATATGGCACATGAAAAAGTCCAGGTGTGTGCTGTTAAGGTCCCATTATTACTGAACTAACACCAAACCAATACCTGATAATAACAACAGCAGCAGAGACTATGAGGAGGTCTTTTCATTTATGTTCACATATTCTTTACTGTATTTTTGGGATGAGATGTTTGACTCACTCTACAAAACATTACTCTCTTCTCACTATTTGAATGCCAAATACCATAAGATTTAGTGTCCCAACCATTCACTAGAATTAACGTGACTTTAAATGACAAAAATGCTAAC